ATAGCTGGTCAGCGAGAAACAATCTTAAGTGAAAGATGGTTTTTACATGTATGAAAGTGGCATCTGAAAGATAGGCCAAGTATGTATTTTGACATTCTGCCATGCCGTTTTGCCCTGGGTTACACAGAATCAAAGAGACTTAAAATCATAAGGGCCATTTGCACTCGCTGATGGGAACTGCCTACCCGTGTGTCTCTGGCAGAGAGCCTTCCGGCCTCTGTCATCTTCTAGCTAGTGGGCTCATGGCTTCGTGTTCTTTAAAAGTTTAAAATGAACTGTTTTTAGGGTTTTCCGTTTTCTTGGTACTTAGAGTAGAAAGCATGTAAGTTTGGGAAGACAGAAGTGTAGGGGGTACAGTCTAGGGGGTTCAGCCTGGTACAGTGAGGGGCTGCCAGGGTGCTGGAGTGTTATGGTTGCATCAGTAGAAGTTTGTCCCAAAGGGAGGCGATGGTTCACTCTCCTCCTTCGGCGCTTTGGGGGATGCTGACTGTGTTCAGAGGAGAGTCCCATAGTGGCAGAGCAACTGGAGCCTTTTGCTTTGGGAAGAGTTTGGAACTAAGCGGGGCTTGGCTTGTGTGGCCATGTGACAAGACGTCTCACTGGGGCTCTGTGGTGGCTGTCCTTGGTCCCTAAGGGCTTGTTGGGGAGAGGCTCTACTCTCTTGCTGCAGCTCCAGAGTTATGAACCAGGCTCCCCCCCCGGAGGGCAGTGGACTACTGCTCAGGCAGCTTGGGCTGTCCAGACCATGGGTTCACTGTCCATAGGCATGCCCAAGCAGGGACTGGGCAACCCCAGGGAGGGATCAGGCAAAAATGTTAGTTTAGCAGATTCAGGACAGAATGGTTTAACTTCAGGGGTCTCTTTAGACTCTGAAGTTCTGTGATTCTCATTTGGTACAAATACTCTTAAAAAATCATTGTTATCAGTGTTCAGAATTAATTTAAGCGCCAAAAAAAAAGCAAAAGAAAACACATTTTTAATCCACAGAAGCTGTTTCCTGGGTCTCCTCATTTGTAGTCCAATTGAACCTATGATTACAGAAATTCGTCTTTCTTGCCGCCTTGGAAGCCCCAGCCACACGCCTTAACTCATCAGAAAACTTGTGTCTCAGCATACTTTTCAGGATGGGGCTCTTTTTATCATTTCTAGAGAGACAATATACAGTTTGCTAATATCTGCTGGTGTTTTGGCTAACTTTTTTAAAGGTTTACACGTGTTAGTGCAGACGTGGACCCTGAGGTCGGAGAGCTGTGGGCACTAACTCCACAGTCCTGGGCTTTCTTGGGACCGGCCCTTCGAGGAAATGCGGGTCTGCGGATGGCTGTTGTCTGTGTGACAGGACGGAGGTCCCAAGTGGCCCCGCTGTGGGAGGTCCAGCGCCTCCATCCAGATCCCACCATCTTCTTCTGATGACTCTTGGCCAAAGGTCGCAAACCTAAAGCCTGCGTGCATCTGGCCTGCAGACATGTTTGGTTTGACCTGTATTACATGCAAATAGTGTATAATCTGTTGCCAGTATTTTAAAGTAGGGAGCCATTACATGAAACTCCAGTTTTTCTCCTTCTCTTGCATAATCAGGAAATCTGGCAGCACAGACATAGACCCTACGTTCTCTGCAGGGTCGCTGGATCACGCAGTCCGGGGCCCCACTCATGGGAACGTGTGGTCCTGCTGTGTCCTAGCTGAAGTACTCCACCCCATTAAACAAGCCTTCTCAGGTTTGCAACAGTCCTGATCACCCCACTCCTGGAATTTTTTCGTAGGGTTGAGATTTGCTTCCATAAATCCTCGTCCTGTTCTCTTTCGTCTTTCTCAAAGACACTCAGAGTTTAGAGCATCCCTAGGTACCCTAAGATTTAGCAAACAGAAATCCATTCCTCTGGATCCATACACATTTTTTTTTTGGTGAGGAAGATTAGCCCTGAGCTAACATCCGTTGCCAATCCTCCTCTTTTTGGTGAGGAAGACTGGCCCTGGGCCAACATGCGTGCCCATCTTCCTCCACTTTATACATGGGATGCCTGCCACAGCATGCCTTGATAAGCGATGCGTCGGTCCGCGCCCAGGATCCAAAACTGCGAACCCCGGGCCACCAAAGCAGAGCGCGCAAACCTAACCACTATGCCACCGGCCCAGCCCCTGTACACAATATATTGTAAGGAATATATTTGAATTTGCTCACAGTGGAGTCATGCTTGTCTGTTCCCTCCCTGTGTGAATGTACAGTATAGTACTGTTCGGTCCCTACAAGCATGGACTCCCATCGCCCTCTCAGGAGAGGTATCAGGCTAGAGGAGCCTGCCGGGTCCTGAGCGACACCCCCCCCTTTCAGGTTTGGTGTTTGTGCTCTGGAAGGAGGAGTGGGTGGTTCAGGACTGAAGGCTTTCAGCCAGGCAGTAGGGGGACACTTGAAGGTTTGACTAGTGTGGTCATTGCCCACAAGTAGCCCAGCGTAGTGCCAGGAATGAAGGCGGCAGGGTGGCTGGTCCTGGCACTTCCCGCTGACAAGTTCCCTTACCTCTGAGGCTCAGTCTTGTCTGGAACGAGGGAGCCGCAATAACTCTGCTCCCCCTGACCTGTTGCTTATGGGGAGCAGGTGAGCGAGTGAACCTGACAATGCTTAGAAATGCATCAACGCGTTAGCGCTCAGGCCACTTGCAGAGAAGTGCAGCTTACCTGCTCCCGCTCTGCCGCACACTGGCAGCTGGGCGTGCCTGACTTGGGTGCTGCTGTGAGGTGGGGAGCAGGGCGGTTGATCTGCTCAGTCTCCACAGCAGTCTTTTGGGAGGTTGGGGGTTCGGGTAGTAAACCAGCTGGGGCCAAGGCTAAAGGGCAGAAATACAGCTCCTAGGACGCCAGGGTGTCCTTCAGGCCCCGCAGACTTTTGCAGCATTTGAATGGTACATGTAACCAAAGATTATCCTCCAAGGTGACCCATAGAATTTATTTAAGATTGTCAAGATTTGGATTTTCTTTCCCCAAGACAGTGTCCTAGTACCAAAACAAATCAGCCTAGTTTAGTTCCCCGATGATGTCATCTCTTCACGTCGACTCCTGTTTGAGCTGTTTCCCTCTATCCTCTTAAGAATTAAGTCCTTGCAGCTCACGCTGGGGAGAGGATAATCACGAGTGTAGGATTTGCTCATGGAAGTACCCACATGCTGGCTGGAAAGAGTGGTATCCATCTGTCTGCATGGAGCCCAGGTCTGTGAGCTGCGGGCTGCATTCTGTTTGAGCAGGGAGGCACAAAGCTTTCTGAAGCCCCGAGCAGCTCTCAGCTACCCGTAACACCAAGGTGACCCCTGCCCCTGGTCTTGTGGGAATTCCATCAGGAATGGATGGTGGAAAAATGTGAGCCCACAGGAAACTTATGTGAGGTTTTGTTATGCTAAGTTTAGAAATCTTAGAAATGCGTTGGGGGGGGAATTTAATGATTTTAAGCAGTTGTTGTTTATTGCATCACCACGGATGACCGCCCTCTCCCGTTAGTTCTCACCATGCAATGAAACTTGTACTATCACCTTGGTTTGTAATCAACGTTTTCGTCTGGGCCTGGTTCTCTTTCTTGATCTCAGTGCCATATTTGGTTTATATTGGTTTAGATTCTAAGAAATCAAGGGACGCCCCGTTATGTCACATGCTTTTCTTTAAATAATAAGAACTTGCAAAGAAATCATCTTCCAAAAGTTCACCTGTGAGTTGCTTCAAACTCTGAAATATTTTCCCCCAGAAACAATGTTTAAATGGTGGCCAGAGTCCCCAGCTGGCTCATAATCCATTATATTCATGAAATTTGGTATAAAAAACAGTATTGTCACAATATTGGTAATTAATTGGAACCTGGACTTAATTATCACATAAAGATGCTTACTTGATCTTTTCTAGTGTTGTGGTTCCTGAGGGATAGCAGAATTAGGAGGTCAGTGGAGGGTGGTAAAAATTCCCAAGGAGACTCACGGGCGCTCTGCTTCTTCAAGGTGTTGAATTCTATTTCAGACTTACAACTTTCCTTCTGCCTCAGTCCAGCTGCATTAATCAGTGTTAGTCTTACGCTTTCTCAATCACAATTATGACCACGTGAGTTTATAAACAGACAGCCAGAGGAAGGGCAAGTAAGGAGGCTATTCCATTTTCCTTATTTTACGTGGACAGGAGTTAGAAGAATCCAGATATGAAAGCTCAAGTTGAAATTCCTGAGCTCAGAAGGCGTGAAGCCCCGACAGGTGAGAGAAGGTGTGAGGTGAAGGTTTGGGGCCTGGCGGAGCTCAGTGCTGCCGTCCACTTTCTTATCCCAGGAAAGCCTCGAGACAGGGCGGAAGGGTTGCTGGGAATTGGCCGTTGAAACAAGAATAAATTCTCATCAGTCATCTAAGGAAGACTGGATTAAACCTGCTTCAAAAGTGTGTTGGTTTCAATTTTTGAATGGTTTTCAAGAAGCCCTAATATGCTTTCATTAAAAATGGATTAAAGTAAATTATACACGATTCATCTATTAAATGCTATTACTAAGTGTCCAAATGGAATTTCATTTTTTAATAAATTAAAAATCTGAAATGAAAAACTGTAAAATGTTCTCAGATGTAAATATCATGAAGTAAGAATGTGGTTAATGTCTTATTTTTAGAAAAGAAAATTTAGGTTTCGTTATACCTTTAGACGTTCCACGTGCACTTATAACTGGGTTATAGGAGAGGTATAATGGAGCACGTCACGATGATTTTTATTATATTTTTGAACCAATGGCGCATCTCATAGTATCATGAGTATCACAAAGTTAAGTTCTACACACACATGCACACAAAAGGAAGTTTGTTGAATATATATGTTGTATATAAAAGAGGAGGAAACCAAATTACCAAGGTAACGATGAGTGTAATTTCCATTTTAAGATGACAAAGATAAAAGTTTAAACTTTTTAAAATTACCTATGTGCCTACTTTTTTTTTTTTTTTTTTTTTAATTTACACTGGGCTTTATATTTGGCTCCTTTTTCCTTACAGGGCATGCTGTTGAAGCGAAGTGGCAAGTCACTGAACAAAGAGTGGAAGAAGAAATACGTCACCCTGTGTGACAATGGCGTGCTGACCTATCACCCCAGTTTACATGTGAGTGTCTCCCCCTCCGAACAATCAGCAGGCATGGACCTCAGCATGCACACCATGGGTGTTGGCGGGGTGGATGGGGGTCCTAACCCCGGTCAAGCCTCTCCCCTCTGAAGTTGAAGTAGTACTGGGTCTCCTGCTCCATCATGAGATAAAGAATATGGCCCTTACACTCCGGTAAACCATGTCCCTCTCTTCCCCTCCCTAACAGTCAATCTGTAGCTCTCTGATTCTACAAAGAATTACAATAAAAGGCACAGATGAGATAAAATCTTAAATGAGAGTAAAAAGACAGGAAGAAATAGTAAAAGAGAAAGGAGAGAAGACAGCATCTATCTCAAAATCTAAGATAAAGGAAACAACGACATTGGAACCCAGAATTCAGCTCTCAGCAGCTGAGAACAAACACAATAAGATAAATGCAATTCATAACTCAGTTTTTATTGTCAAAAACAAACACATAGCAGTTCATAAGGAAACAGAAACTTTATGTGTTAATAAAATGTTCTGTCTTGGTGATTTATATAAGATAGATTAAAATACAGAATTAATTTTATTTTGGGGGGGAAATGCAGACATTCTACCCATAGTGAGTTCTTTTAGAAAGCCTTGATAAAATCTGAAGGTGGGTGTTAGTTATAGTTCCATAACAACACATTCCGTGAATCTTGCGTGATGTTTCTCTGTCTTGATGTAGATAAATGTGTAGATTAGAATATATAGTGTTAGCTGGTCATTCGATTATATCACTGTGTTAAGTTTATAATTTTAAATACTTTAAAAAAAATTGCACAGTCATTGACAAGAAGTTAGAAATAAGCATATTGAAGAAAATTTAAATCACTCCCCAAATACCACCTGGAGAGCATGACTGCTACATTTTGGGGTGTATGCTCCCAGGCATTTCTATGCATATGAGCTTTTTCCTTCCACAAGCACGGTCACCGTGTGCATGCCGTCTGTGGGCTGCTTTCCCAGATAAGGATAGACCATACGCACCTTAGCATGTCAGCAAATATACTTGTACACCACCATTTTTCATGGTTATGTAATATTCACTGTGCAGATGTACCCTAATTGATTTAACAGTGTCTCCAAAATGGACATTTGGCAAATAAATTTACTTTGAATTATTTTTACTAGTATAAGTAACTGATCAGCATCCTCTATTTACAACTCTGTACCCTTGTTCATTTCCCTGAGACGGATTCTTAGCAATAGGCTTCCTGAGTTAAAGACTATGTGTGTTTCTATGACCTTTGGTATATGTTGCCAAATTTCTGGAAAGAGTGTATCAGTTTATCACCTCCGGCAATATACCAGAGGGCGCTTTCCCTGCACTCTGATGAAAATTTACCTTTAAAAAAAAAAATGTATATATATGTACATACAAATGTATGTGTATACACATATATACATTTTTTCCCCCAATAGGATAGGTAACAAGTGATGTCCTTGTTGTTTAATTTGCTTCCTGGAGTGAATTGCCTTCTTCCCCCTTGTCTTACAGCAGTGGCTCACTCTTTGAACCACACTAAAAAGCAGGTGTTCAGCAGGGAGGCTGCCGTCTCCCTGGCTTAGTTCTTTCTAAGACCCTGTCTGAAAGCAAAAGTCTGATTATTGACCCAGCTGCTTTCTGTCACTTAGAGAAGTGTAATCAAAATATTCTTCTCGCTAAGGCTCACTGACCAGTAAAAAGTAAGATCTGCATGATGATAATTTCAAGTCACCTTCCACTCACCTGCTGAGCCCAGGCTCAAACAGAGGGACATTTGCTGCTTCTTGCCAAAGGGAGAAATTGTAACAGTATGTACTGGAAAATTCCTATAGGAGGACCGACGCCTACTTTCTGTTCATCCCAACCTCTTGGTTATATGATCACAATCAGTTCTTCAAAAATCCTCCAGCCAGGCTTCTTCTTGTGATATCCCTCAGTGTTTGCCAATTCCATCTTTTTTTTTTTCTTTTAACGTGTATGCATGGCTATCCAGGCAAGGAGCACAGTGGGGCTCTGTTACATAATTGTATCACAAGCAAGAGCCAATGTCATTTTAAAGTGCAGCGCAGTTAATGCCAGTCTCCTGGGAACTGAGATTATTAATGCAGGTGCATAGTTCCTTAAGGGAGTGGCTTAATCTTGGAATGGATTTAAATTACTAGAGCATGGAGAGATGGCGTGACCTTCATTGTAATCCTTCCTTGATTTTATTTTCACTACCAAGATTTGGGTGAAAGTTTGGAGGGGCCGTGGGTTCCAGGTGTATTCTCTGACAGGTCCCTGGAGTGAGTCTCTTCTCTTCCAGGTTGTTGGGGAGCTAGAGCCCCAACAGCTGAGTTAGTCTGGCATTCTTTGGTTCAAAATAGGAAGAGGTATTCAAGAGGATGCCCATGGACAGGGTCCAGACTTTTCTTAATAAGAAATTTGGGAGCATGCAGATGTTTTGCTGATTCAAATCTCAAAATTCTACGCCATGAAGAATGGCCCGATTATTTTGGTCTGGAAAATTTCAAAAGTTGACTGAACCAAATGATCTCACTTAAACACTGATTGCACTGTAACACCCACTTCCTAGATTATCACCAAGATATATTGTGGCATAAAGACCACTAAGGTGACAATGAGTTCATTGGCCACATGCAGTGATGACATAAGTGGTTGAATATTGGGGAAATCTGTCCACATTGGTGGCTTTGGATGTCATTATTGTTGGTCATCACTCTGTTACTGGCCACAGAGCAGGGGATCTGCACTGATTTCAAATAGCAGAGCCTACAGCCTATTCCTCTCCAGGGAGCCAAGGAAAAGAATCTGCCTAAACAATGTGACACTTTGGGTAGAATTTTCTACAAAGATTTAAGTGTTTATCAATAGTGGAGCAGCTGTGCCAGCTCCTGGTGTATACCACTGACTTTCGATGCTTAGGTAATTTATTTACCCAAAGGAAACCAGCGTACTTTTTTGAGGATGGGATTCTATAAGATAAAACTTCTATAATGGGATGGGGGTCGGGGGCTTGAGAGCACCAGGCTTGGGGATGCATCCAACACGTAAGATTCAAACAGATGCTATGCGAGGCCCACAGCAGCCCCTTCAAAACCAACATGTACGTGTAGCCATGTGGCTCTCTTCTGGCCGGCCCAGACATGTATGTCCTGTCCACACGTGTGCTGCTGTCTGGCCCTGACTCTATCACTAGCGACCTCTGACTTGGTGGTCATGTTAAACCCAGGGAGCTGGGTGGGATCTTGCACACAAGGAAGATGAAGAGTAAACGATTGAATCAAGTTCACATAGAAATGGGCCGGCATGTGAGGACCCTTAATCATTTTATTGCAATCCCTTCTTTATGATCCCTTCACGAAAAGTTCAAAGTGCTCAGGAGTATTGGCCACCTGTGTCGAATAGCATGGCCTGTAAGGCTGGACTCTCCTCCAAATTAAATTCCCAGGTGAGCACCCCAACCAGTGCTCCTGGACAGACAGGCAGGCAAGGGCCAAGAGTTGACTGAGAAAGGTGCAGCGTTTGCTGCTGGAGGACAGAGCCGCCCCACTAGCCTCTCCCTGCTCCATCCTGCTGTCTCACCACCTCGGCTCCTGCACGCTCCAGGCAATGCCAGTTTTTCTCAGACGTTTGCTTGGAAAAGATGCAGCAGAAGGCTGTAGCTATAACTTCCTTTGAGCGTGTGGGAGCAGGAGACTGACCATTTCCTAAACTTGCTAAAAAAAAAAACCCTTCTTTTTAAATGTCTTCATTGGATGCCCTGTAAAACAAGATCTCCCAGAGGAGGTCAGTTACAGTCCTTAAGGAAACAGATACGGTTTCCTTATTACACAGGTGTCCGTGGAAGTGTTTATGTCAAAGATCATCCTTTGGACGCAAACCACAAGTTTCAATCCTGAGCAGATGTTCTGCAGATACTGGTGTGGTAGAAAACAAACCCGGGCTCTTGACAAAACAAACAGTTGGTGTGTGGCCCCGGCGGTGCGCTGAGCTTGTGGAATCCAGCTGAATGCCATGCTCTTTGAAACCGCGGCTACAAAAACAGGCTGCCAGTCATGAATTGGAGACACCTGGCTTTGCAGCACGCGGTGGGGTTGGCGCGAGGCTGACAGGCTCTCTCTGCGCTTTGGATGGGTCAGCTGCCAGGGAAGCGCCCTAATGCTGGGCTGCCTGCCCGCTCAGGACTCGAGCAAGTGCTACATGCAGTTTATTAGCAAGGGACCTCAGGATGGTGGCACCAGATTACTTCCCACTGGCACCATCACTTCAGATTTCCCTTCTTGCGTCCTTCCTTCTAGTCACATCTTCTTCCCAAGCCCATAGTCTACCCAGTTTTGTGGCATCATCCTAGAAGTGTCTTTCTTTCACCCTGTGCCCCAAGCTGAGTTCCTGCACAGACTATTTAGGAGACTGGCAGTCCTTGGTCTCTCTACGCAGCTTGGTCTCACACTGTCGTTTAGTTAGCACAGGCTTTCCTCGTGCAGCAGAGACATTGTTGGAAGAAGCCTCATTGCCCGAGGCGTGTTTCCTGCTGTTGAAAACCGTCAATGGTTCTCTTAGAGAACCTCTGTCTGCGAGCAGTGGGATGGAATTGCCTGTGCATGTCCAGATCATAGGGAGTGATAGTCTCTCTGGATATCAGAGGGGAAAATGGGCAAAACATTCATCTGACCCAGACTGAGAAAGTTCCCTAAAAGTTGGTATTAGCAATACCTCCAGACCCCAGATTTGTGCACCCTGCATTCCATGAGTCTTAACCCCACCCTTCACCCACCGCCACACCTCCTCGCCTGCTTCAGCTCTTCCCCTGAAGGCTCGGGCACCGTCAGCAGTGGCTGTCTTGGGCTGATGGGGTCCCCGTACCTCCTGCATTACAGGTATAGACCAGGACATTTGGGCACAAAAGGAAGAAGTGATGGTGGATTTCAACAGTAGGTGTTCCTAAAGATCAGTGGTCCCCGCACTGGGAGCCCGTGATAGTTCTGGGGTCCAGTGGCAGGCA